CAAGTTTTCCAATTTTCTCCATAAGAATTAATGTTCTACTTCTCAACTTTTCAACATATCATATTTCAACTCATGCTTTTATCATATCTCAAGTGTTTTTGTATAACAGATTCATGATATAGGTAATATTATTATGATGGTTATCAGACAAATATATTATAACTAGCTGTACCCTGGGCGCGTTGGTTCGCCATCAACTAAAATAAATTTAAAGGAAAGACATTACACAAATATTCAATTTATTTTGAGTCATCAAATCATCGAAATCGGTCGTGCCGTTAACGATTATATAACGGACATATAGACAAACATGGGAACATAATCACAAAACCCGTCCGCCATATTGGATGCGCCATTTTGAATTTTCTTATTTTGACGACGAAATCATTATCTCCGACCCCAAAAACCCTCAGATACCAATTTTGAATAGAATCGGTCCATAATTACAAAACTCGTCCACCATATTGGATTCGTCATCTAGAATTTCCTAATTTTGACGAAAGAATCATAATCTCCGACCCTGAAAACCCCTAGATACCAATTTTCAATTGAATCTACTCATAATTAAAAAACTCGTCTGCCATAAGGGATCCGCCATTTTGAATTTCCTAATTTTAACGACGGAATCATAATCTCCGACTCCAAAAACCCCTAGATACAAATTTTTAATAGAATCGGTCAATAATCACAAAACTCGTCCGCCATATTGAATCCGCCATTTTGACTTTCCTAATTTTGACGAAAGAATCATAATCTCCGACCCCGAAAACCCCCAGCTACCAATTTTGAATGAAATCGGTCCATAATTACAAAACTCGTCTGCCATATTTGATTTTTTCAATTCTTGCCATATTTGATTTTCTCAATTTTTTTTCTACCTATACCATCCCTGAACTATAACGGAATAAACAAAAAAAAATTATCCAAATCAGTCGAGCAGTTTACGATTTTATCGAGGACATACAGACAGACAGACAAACATTCATTTTTATAGAGAAGATGCAGAATAATTATTTTTATTCTGATCTGATTTTTTATCCAAGAATGGTAATAAGAGTGTATGCCACATTCTGGCAACGCTGTCACGCGTAGACGGTTTCGAGGGTGCACGGCGCTTTAAATAGACCACAGACTGCCTGGACCTCGGATGAATTATTCGCACCAAGGATACTGGAGACATCTGTGTATGTTCTGTTTCACTAATTTCAGTGTTGACCAAATCCCCATTCACGGTGTATATCTAGGGGAGTCGTTAATCTATGTTACAACTATGTGAGCAGTTATTCAGTGCAGTAGCGGCAACAGCTGGTTTAGAAAGAATTTTTTCGAGTTTTGGAATAGTTCAATCTAAATTGAGAAATCGTCTAGGCAACGAAAAAGCCAGTAAGCTAGTATTTATTTTTAAATGTTTAAACCCAAATACAGATAAAAAAGCCAAAAGCTTAGACTGGATCTCGTCGAATGATGAATTAGTTGCCTTGAGTGAAGATGATAATATTGATAATGATGATTATATTCCTCTTTCTCGGTTTTGCAATCCTTAAAAATTTATCAAACGACAAGTTTTTTATATTACCATATATTACATATTTTCGGAAAAATATAATTTTTTGTTTCGTGTTTTGTTATTTCAAATTAAACCGAGAATTAAACTGAAGTTTGGTTTTTGTTCTTACCAAAATAAAGGTATTTTATATTGTGTTTTTTTTTTGGCATATCAGCCTAGGAACAAAATCGAAATTTCTGATATATATCGGATATATATCGGATATATATCCGATATTATGATATTTTGATATATATATAAATACAACGTCGTGATTTTCAATAAAATGGAATTTCGTTACAACGCCATAACTCGGTATTGATTCATCCTATTGGATTCATTTTTTCACCAAAAGTTGAGGAATTTGTTGGTGATCATTTCGTCTCAATTCAGTGTGCTTCTAAAATTTATAGTAAATGAGCTATAGCCTATCAATTACGAACGCACCGGAACGGACTGATGTGAAATCTCAACCTACTAGTGTGACGTCAGCGTCGAGAGAGAGGGGATAGACTACGGCCCGGTGAGATAGAGTAGGCCCTGCTCCACACCGCAACCTTTTCAGATCTATTGTGTCTGCCCTCAAAATCGTTTAGAGTTCATTGGCTAGCCCCACCTTCTCTATGAGACCATAGGCTAGCTTTCAGATCCCCTGTGTAACTTTGGGCTCTTGGTTTTTCCTCACCCAACCTTAGTCTTGACAAGCCTAACCTAACCTGACAGAACCTGTACAGCAGTTCTTCAGTCAGACCTATCGTACTTATGTGTTTGTTGAGCCTACAATGCCCTGTGAGAAGTCCCAATAGTATTCTAGTTGTTCTTCGTTTCTGGATCAGTAGATATTCTGTGAATGTTGGCAATGGTTTTTTAATAAACTCTTTTGCCTGTCTCATTCCTGGCGAATTGTTCCACCATTCTTGAGATTTGGTTTGCATCCATGATTTGATACCTGTCTTTGGTATAGTTTTCGCAATACTACAAAGGGTTCTGGGCCATTCAGAGCTTTGTTTGCTCTTGCTCGGGCAAGTGAGTCTCCCTCTATGAGAGATTACATAATAAGTATACCAGGTGACACAGGGTATCGGGCCACCCCTGTAACTTCTGCATTCGTGAATGGATTTTTCTGAAATTTGGTACATTTATACAGGGTGTCCAGAGATAAAACCGACGAAATTTATAGGGTTATTGGGCCTGCCAATATGATTGCAGAATGCCATATACATATGTCCAAAACCGCTTCATTACTGACATACAGAGTGATTTGTGAATTTTGACAGAAAGTCAATCTGCCATATTTAATACAGGGATTACCCGATTGGGTTCGAATTTGGTACATGAATTAAACTCAAAAGCTTCAATAAGAAGCCTTCTGAACAAAATCGCTATCAGGAACGGAAAATAATTGTTTTCCTATGTTGAATTATTGTGAAAATAACTCAGTCTGACTCAGTCAGTATAATAATTATCAAAAATCTGAGGTCATATTATGAATCTATGAAAAAATACTATAGAAACTTGTTGAGAATGTTTCTGGTACAATTCCAGTTATAAATTATTATTCTAATTCCTTTTGTTAATTATCGGCTAAAATATCATCAGAAATATGATGAATATTTACGAAACCAAGACATAATAGTCGTTATTCTCTTTGATAACTTCGTAGAAATATTTTATAAACTACTCTCGTAACCTAAAAAAACTGAAGAATACATATCAGGACCGGAATGACTCTTTCATGTTCTTGTAAGTACAGGGTGTCCCTAAATGATCTCTACAAAATCTCAGCACATATTCCTGAGGTCTAAATAAGCCGATTTGAAGCAACTTATCTCAGTCCGAAATCGCTCCATTACCGAGATACAGGGTGGTAAATTCAAAAAATGAATATTAAGTAAAAATCGTACTCCTTTGAAAATTCGCCAAAGTATGCCGATTTCGAGATATTTCAGTTTTTAGTGTTCGATGCCGCACCGGAATATTCAAATTATTTTGAATAAAAATGCATGTTTGCTGTTATCTTTGTGAATGTAATTTGGATAGTGAATGAGGATTAAGTAGTGCAAAAATGTATTTTCCAATATACTCTTTTGGAGTTTACTTAATGATTTTTATTTTTGAAATTTACCACCCTGTATCTCAGAAACGTAGCAATCTCGGACAAAAGTAAGTTGCTTCAAATCGGCTTATTTTGACCTCAGGGCTATGAGCTAAGATTTTGTGGACCTTTTAGGGACACCCTGTATAACTGACCTAGTTTAACAATTAACATTAATCTGATCGTAGACTCGGAATCAACTAAAAAAATTGTATAGGAACTTGTTGAAAACGGATTGAAATAAATTTTATATTTGCTCTTACTAATAAATTTGAAAATACAAGACGACGAACAATAATTTTTTGTAATAAACATAAGAAAAAAACGAATTCGAAAAAAACTTTTACTAGTATTACAATACAAGTTTCTATACGATTTTTTCTGTTATTCTGAATCTAAGATCAGATAAATTATGATTGTTATACTTGGTCAGTTATACACCATACAAGTACAGATAGGTCGATCAATATGGATGTTGGGATACTAATGTGCTAATATACAGGGCATTCTATTAAAAACAAATGGTCTCGACCCTCTAGATTTTTTTTGGTGCGCCCTGTATATGCAGCAATAATTTCTAGTTATGGACCTTGCAATCTCATTCACATTCGTTTTTGAATCAAGTTTCTAGCTATCATAAAACTCGAGCAATCAAGTTCTGACGCACTAATGCCCCACCCTGTATATAACAGGATGAATCTGTATAGAATGTGAATTCTCTTGATCCAATGAAGAGTACTCCTCTTTCTTTTGTCTGTTATTACCTTGGTGAATATTTGTACTAGCAGCATACAAGGAACTGATAAAATTCAAGACAAACTATGAAATGTCTTCATCTTATTCTTCATTAGTCTGTAATGGGCGTGTACACCTTAGTAGAACTTTTAACTCAAACCATGTTTATAATGATCCTTTTATACATAAATAATGATTGACGACATAATTCGATCAAAAAATTAACTGGAATGTTTTATTTTTGGACATAAATAATAGTACCTTCTGAAAACGGACCCTCTTATGACGTAGAAACCTCATCTCGCCATAGTTAAAAGAAAATACCAAACGCCCGAAGGAGACTGAGGCAACTGAAATGATAATTCTTTCAACTGTGATCTCGCGCTAATTCACTCTGTCAGAAATCCTGAATCATTCATCTCTGTCTGGAATAGTCTTGTTTCAGTATTGGGGTTTTGACGTCACATCATCGCCCCGTTTTCAGGGGTCCGAAAAATCGGATTTCAATAATTTTTTATAAAACGTAGAGAACTCACAGCAAGAAACGGTTTGCGGTGGTGAGCTAGTTTGGGTGAGTTCTATCGAATTATGAAATAAAAATTTTTTGTCATACAAGCACATTACCTTGGCAACCCTGTCGAATCCCTCGGGGAAGTCGTAGAGCAGTTTCAGGATTTTCTGGAAAACGAGGTACTCGCTGCCTCCTCTGAAAGGCATGACTCCGGACACAATTTGGTAAATAATGCAGCCCAAAGCCCACAAGTCCGATTCGTATGACGACGATGTGTCAGTGAGCATCTCCGGACTGACGAATTGTGCGGTACCTGTGGCAATAATATCGGGTGTGCCATGAAAAACGACCTGAATTTCTCAGAAATTGACGAAGGAATTCTAGTCGCCTTTCTATGATTATCAAGAGATTGAATGAAATGCACTTAGGAAGTAAAAGATCGTTTTAAATAAGGACACTAAACATTTCATTGTATAAACTAAAAAGTATCTTCGTCAAATGTTTATGAGGTGTGTTCCTGCGGAAAGTTTATATTCTTCGGAATAAAGTTTATTCATATATGATTTTATCATTCTGTATAATTTTGTTGTGATTGAAGGTTGTTGTTGAATGTCAGTAAAAAACTCAAACATCTGTCTTGTCTGTGCTGATATTTTTCAAGTGAAAAACGGTTTCAAACCAGTGCCAAACTCCGAAACCTAGTGCAAACGCACACATAGTGGTCCTTCGAGATAAAGAACAGCCCTAAGGATGTCCGCCAAATCATTACCTCCGAATGAACAATCAATCAGAAGAAGTGAGAGGATAAACAAAGGTCAACCGCCCTCTCGATTTATGATTGATATGGAGGAGGAACAAAATGAAAGAAAGGGTGATGAAAAAAGGGAAGAGAGGTCAACAAAAAATAAAAACGTAATGTCCAACGATAAAAAATCTTCCTCTAATGTGGAAAATAGCAAATCTATGTCAAGAAAGTCTATCATGGAAGATAAAAACTCACACGTAACGTTTTCGTCGAAAACTAAATCTAGCGCTAGCGCATTGTCGAGTACTGTGAGAAGAAAACAACTAGAATTAGATTTAGAGCAAGAAAGAAAATTAGCGGAAATTGAAATGGAGCAGATGGAGCTGAGAAAAAATGTGATTAAAAAGGAAATAGCTTTAAAAAAAGCGGAGTTAGATGAAAAATGTCAATCCAGTCGTGCATCCACTCGTGCATCCACTCGTGTATCAACTAACAAAGGTGATGTTGATGATGTCCGAACAGTTACATCCAAATCTTCGTATGTCCAAAGGTGGGTTAACTCTATGGATGATTTTCATCCTTCAAATCACGTCCAAGAAGATATCAAAGTGAATAAATTCATGGCACGACAAACCTTCAGTAAAGATCTTCCAACCTTTTCGGGAGAGCCTGGAGAATGGATGAATTTCATTACTCAGTTCAACGACTCATCACGTATCTGTGAATTTTCAAACGCTGAGAATATCATCCGACTACAGAGAAGTTTGAGAGGCAGAGCTAAGGAGTCTGTCAATGCCCTTTTAAGCTTCACCCAGGAAGTGGATGAGATCATCAAAACCTTACAAAATCGATTTGGTAGGCCGGAAACTATCATTCAAGCAGGGACGCGCCTATACAGTGGCAACTGCGTGCACCGCACACGGGCGGCCACCCTTAGGGGCGGCCAATCACGAGATACTAAATATTACTTCGTTATTTTGAACATTATATTACTCTGTAGACTAAGGGAATCCTTGTAATAAAATTTCAATCCCATTCAGTAAATTAACAACACTTAATAGAAGAAAAAATAAGAACAAACAACCTTTCTTACGCTGGTGGCCCACAGGAGTCAGGACGATAGCGGCACGATTTTTCGCGATATACTACCATCGCTTCGCATTAGCATAAACTACAGAAGATAAACTATTTCAGTAATATTTGGCATTAGCCGAGTAATGAAAGAATTGAATTTTTTAGCCATTGGACTACATTCAATTGTATGAAAATTTTGTCTGTGCGATATCGCGTACGAAAACCTTTTCGGCATCAGACTAAGAACATTTTCAATGCACTTGTGGAAGTATCTTTTAGATGATAGTTTCGATTTGTCGGCTAAACACAAAGTATTCTCAATGGCTAGCAAAATCAATGAATTTCGATTCATCTGTTCCATACTGATATGGCATCATGAAATTTTGTTAAAAATCAACATCTGTAGGAAATTCTTTTCATGTTCTACACTCAATATTGAAGCATGTCTTGATCAATTGAATAATTTGAGATTTTTATTGCTGCATTCAGATCCGATGGAAACTATTCAAAAATTTTGAAAAAATTCTCGGACAATAGCTGATAATTCAGATTCTGAAACATACTTTCCAGAAACGTCTAGAAGGAGAGAGAGACCAAAATTGTTTGATTATGCACGAGGGAAATGATGATTATCAGACTGACTACCAACAGCACGCAAATTCAAGATATTTTTTTTATGCCATCACCGACCAAATAACATGTTCTCTCGATGAGAGATTCGAGTCTCTCAAAGATTATATTTAATGTTCTGGATTTCTCTAGTTAGCTTTTGGTAAGGACTTTGATGAAACAAGTTAACTCGAAAGTTATGAAAATTTGCAAGAAAAATTAACAGATGAAAATCACAAGGAAGCAGATATAGACGGGACAGATTTATTCAATCAGTTAAAATCATTGAAAGTGATTTATCATGAAAAATAGAAAATCATCCACAACAGATTTCACAGTATAAACATTTTATTAACTTTACCGGTGTCAGTTGCTAATGGAGAAAGGTCATTTTCTAAGTTGGAGATAATAAAAAACTATTTGAGGTCTAAAAATGAGCCAGGACCTTGCTTCAATATCCTTCGAATCTGAATTATTAGAAACAATCGATGTTGACATGCTCATCGAAGAATTTCCTCAGCAGAAAGCGAGAAAAATGATATTTTCTCTATGATTTTCACTGTGATATTATCGCCCCTCCATGTGTTTTTCTCAAAGTATCACCTGAACCTCATATGTTAATGAAATATTGTTAATTTCATATGAATTCTTCAATTCCTATATTATTTGTTATGTTACTTATGTTTATTTATATTATGTTATGTTCCGGGAATGCAATCATCTCTTGAGACATCTTGAAACGAGTTTGATATATTATTTGTTTCTTTTCAGTTTCCAAAATATGTCAGTTTTCAAAATTCGTTTCATTTGAATTTTTTTCGAGGGCGGCCCAGAACATATTGCACACGGGCGGCGAAGTGTCTAGGCGCGCCCCTGCATTCAAGAGCTAATAGAGTCAGCGGTTAAAATTCCTATGATGAGAGAGGACAAACTGAGTAATATTTTTGACTTTTCAATCAAAGTGAAAAATCTGGCAGTGACACTGAAAAGTCTGAAAGGTCAAGAATACTTAACAAACCCTCAACTTTTGAATGATCTCGTTGATAAGCTGACTCCTGCTTTGAAAATGGAATGGGGACGAAAGATCGTTGAGAAGAAGAAAAATGAAGCACCTGGTGAACTCATCACGATCATGGATTTCTCTGAGTGGCTAGAGGGAAACAGTGAAGCAGCGATGTATGTTACAAATATAACTCGAGAATACGACAGAAAAAAGAAATATGTATGTACGACTTCTTTACAAAATGAAAAGCCAATATTGAAATGCAAATTTTGCAAAAAAGGAGGGCATAAAGTGGAGAAATGTGACGATTTCAAGAAATTAGATGTGGAGTCTCGATGGGAATGGGTGAAGAGGAGCAGAGTTTGTTTTAGCTGTCTAACATCATCTCATATCACAAAATCGTGCCGACTCAAGAAGATTTGTGGAATAAATGAATGTTTATTCAAACATCATCAATTACTACACAAAGAGATGAGTAGAGAACCACAACAAACTATACTCCAGCAGCACCAGGTCAGTTGCCAAGTGAACAACTCTGAGTTCAATGAAGTTCTGCTCAGAATTGCCCCAGTTGAAATCATCGGTCCTAAGGGAAGAATTAATACTTACGCCCTTTTTGACGAAGGTTCAACGGTAACTATGCTGGATGAGGCTGCAGCTATGAAGATTGGTGCCGTCGGACCTACAGAGGTACTGAAAACTACATGGATGAATTCAATGACTAGTGAGGTGTGGAATTCAAGGAGAGTAACCATAAGCATCAAAGGACAGAATAGTGATACAGAGTACGTCATGTCTAATGTTCGTACAGTATGCGATTTGTGTCTTCCTGTTCAAACTGTAAATATGAAAAATATCGCCAAGAAATGTAAATATATCAACCAAGTTAACTTGCCGTCACTGGTGAATGCAAAACCCCTCATTTTAATTGGCCAAGACAACATTGACCTGATTATTGCCAGAGAAGTCTACGAAGGAGGAAAAAACTTACCCATTTTGTCTAAGTCTAAATTGGGATGGGTGGTACATGGAAACATCCAAAAACCTCACTCAGGTCGTATCGACGAATTTTCTCTATTTATTCATCATGAGAACGACGATCTCCATGAGTTGGTGAAGAATTCATTCGAAATCGATAATCTTGGTATCGTGAATTGTCAAAATCTTCAAAGCTCATCAGATAAACGAGCCACAGAAATCTTAGAAAAAACTACTAGAAGAATAAGCTCAAACAGGTGGGAAACCGGGTTGTTATGGAGAAGCGACGATGTCCTTTTACCGAATAATAAGAAATCTGCAATGAACCGACTGCTCTCCATCGAGAAAAAAATGGACAGAGATGCTGAATTCGCCGAAGAGTATGAGAAGAAAATTTCCAGTTATGTCCTGAAGAACTACGCAAAAAAACTGACACCTATGGAGGTAAAACAGCAAAAGAAAAACAAATGGTACTTGCCACATTTTGCAGTAATCAACTCCAATAAACCTGGAAAAATTCGTTTCGTCTTTGATGCTGCTGCGAAAACCATGGGAGTCAGTCTCAACGATGTCCTCCTCAAGGGGCCAGACTTGCTCAACTCTTTACTCGGTGTCATGTTCAAATTCAGGCAGAGGAATATTGCTTTTACAGGAGACATAATGGAAATGTTCCACCAAGTACAGATTATAAAAGAAGATACATGCTGTCAGCGTTTCTTGTGGAGAGGAAGAGAAAGAAATAGAGAACCTGATGAATATGAAATGATGGCAATGACTTTTGGGTCCGTATCTTCACCAACGTCTGCCCAATACGTAATGAGGAGGAATGCTATGGAGTTTGAAATAGAATTTCCTAAAGCTGCAAGTGCCATCACAGATCTTCACTACATGGACGACTACCTAG